AACAAAGGAACCACAGAGGAGCACAAGGGTAGAAAGTCTCAGCATGCTGGAAGCCACAAGCACTGGGCTTCCAGTCTTCAGCAACTTAGCTGGGCTGGCTTCTGCAGATGAGTGCATGCACGTGTGAGAAAGTAAGGCTAGGGCTCCATGTACCAGCACGAGGGCCTCTCTGCTCTTGCCCATAAAACACCTCTCATTTAGGAGCAAAGACAATTATTGAAAGACAGGTTTCTAAAGCAGAGCTAGTGGAATTTGACCAGACAAGCGGGAGGGAGAAATTTGGCTCATTTCGTGTTGGAATGATATCCCGTGTCACATTGGATACTCAGATCCTGGAGGGTAACAAGGCACACAAGCATCAGTTGCTAACACTAGTGAGCTATTGTTTAATAGCCAGATCTATCACTGATATCTCATCACTGATTGTGTTCACTTGGGGAAAATGAAGAGATGGTTTTCTTCTCCATTCCAGGCAGTGATCCAGGTGTGGGAAGAATGGCAAGAGTCTTTTGGGACTGTTTTGGTTATCAGATAGTAGTGGGTGTAATTCCAGGATCCTCATGGCAGCTGAGTGTCTTTGAGTAGGAAACCCTAGTCCTCAAAGTTATAGTTTGCATAGAGTGAGATATGGATACTGTTTAGCTTGCAGGAGTATCTGGCACAGTGTTCAAAAACCATGGATATAATAGTGATAATGAGTAGTGACAAGACAGGCCTGAAGGTGTAAGTCTTTCACCCCAGCTACTCTGGAGACTGAAGCAGGGAGATTTCAAGCTTAAGGTCAGCTTAGTGAGAAGCTTAGTGAGACCCCGTCTTAAAACACAACCATAGAAAAGGGATGGAGATGGGTATATAGCCTAGCAAGGGAGAAACTCCAGGTTTGCCACACATACACAGGGAAGAGTAATGCTGAAGAGTGCATAGCTTCCTTTTAAAGTCTTCGGCCAAGGACAAAGTGAGCAGGGCCCAGGTGAGCATCCACCACAGGTGTTTTCTCATCCACACTGTGTTGCTCCCTAATGTGGTTGTTTGTTTGATTGATTTCATTTTGCTTTGTTTCTTTGTCTTGTTTTTGTTTTTTTCTTTTAAATTTGGCTTTGTTTTGGTGGAAGAGGTTGGCAAGGGCAAAGAGCAGATGCAAGGGGATGGGGAGATAAGTGGGATTAGAATTCATAATGTAAAATCTACAAAGAATCAATGAAAGTTTAAAAAGAAAGCAAAGGGCAGCAAGTCAATAAACAGCACTCCTCCATGGCCTCTGCTCCAGTTCCTGCCTTGATTTCGTATCCTGACTTTCCTCTAAGGTGGGCTATGATGTGGAAGTGTAAGCAAATAAATCCCTTCCTCCCCAAGTTACATTTGGTCTTTATTACATCAAAAGAAATCACATTATGACACAAAGTATTTGGTCCTACTTTGTGATAGTTAATTTTTTGTGTTAATTTGACTGAGTTACAAGATACCTAGGTATTTGGTCAAACTTTATTCTGAATGTTTTTGAGAGGTCTTTTGGGTGCCAGTGACATTTGAATAGTAGACTGACTAAAGTAGACTGTCTTCTCTAGTGAGTTTGGGCCTTATCTAATCGGTTGAAGGCCTAGCACAAGAAGGCTGCCTCCTCTTCCCCCAAGAAAGGAAATTGTCTATGCCTGCCTAATGGTCTTCAATGTAGAGCATTAGCTTTTTCCTGTCTTTGGATTCAAAGTGGAATAGGCTCTTCCATGTCTTGAGCCCAACAACACACACACACTGGAACCTAGACTTCCAGCCTCCCCCCCACCCCCTGGGGACTTGTCAGATTGTATAATTGCATGGACATGTTCCTTATAATAAATGCCTATAAATGGATCCACTCTGTTCTCTTTCTTTGGAGAATCCTAGCACATGCAAAACCACTTAAAGCTTGTAACATAAGCATGCAAATAGGCTAACATTGATCTATAAATCACACTGTACTATTGTTGATGTCCAGAAAACATTAATCTGCAGTGTGCTCCCTTTTCAACTACTCAGTGAATTCCCATTCTATTTACTATCACATTAGAAGAATTTTTCTTTTGAAACAAACATCTCATTCTGTACCCCAGGCTTGCCTAGAACCTGAAATCCTTCTGCTTCAGCCTATAGCTGGGATTGCAGGTATATGCCCCAATGCCTGGTTACCACAATACATTACAGATATGCTAATAGATGGTCCCAATGTTGACAGAAAATATCTTTAACTCCTGTGATTAAATAGTAAGATTGAGGGTTTCAAAAGAACGTGTTTCAATGTATATGTTTTTCTTTTATAGAACCAGCCAATATTATGCAAGCACCTACTGAGAGTCAGACCCCAGTGTTACATACATGACTTGCAAGTGACCATAATCCTTCCTGACTCTGCAACTCCCTGAAGAAATTTAGACACAAACGAAGCTATTTCATTTGCATCTTTAAAGTTTGACCAAAAAGCTCCATAAAGAGTTCACTGCTGGTTATAATCCACGTCCTAGATCTCACAAACCACAGTTTATTGCATGGGGCTTTTCACTATAATGTCTGGCTCGGGAACTCACAGGAAGACAGAAACAAGTTGTTGTTTTGAACAAGAGACTCCAACCTGCAGTCTCTCTGCACTGACCCCATGGTTACATGCTGTGCACTTCTCTTTCTCTATTTGAAGGAAAGCCAAGGGAGAGTTTATGTAATCTGGCACCAGCACCATTCCTGGCCAAATGCAGTCCTCCTCCTTATTCCATTTTTATCTTTGAACAGTGATTTCATATTAGGCAAACAATGAGACTGGCTGTAGGTGGTGAATCAAGAGAAATTATGTTGTTTCCTGGACCAACATAATTACCAACACCTTACCAACAAGGTGTTTTGTAAGCAAAACACCTTCCCACCCCAAGGCATCTTGGGAATGGCACAGCTTCCTTTTTACCTACAGGACTACGACAGGTCTGGACACTTTTTGTTGTTGTTTTGTTTTGAGCAAACATTGACACTGATACAAGGCAGGTGCTCTGGGTGTGGTTTGGCTTGGTCTCTGTGCCTTGTAGTTGCCATGGCCAGATGCAATTCTTCTGGAACCTTGTCTGCCATGAGTCTTTCAGGAGTTCTGCTCTGTTGTCACCCACTATATCCCTGTTGGGTTCACCACACATCAATTGGCTTGATATATTCACTTCAACTTTCATGCTATACGGTCCAAGTGGTGGGGTTATACACATTCATCACCACAGCTAGAAGAATCACTTTAAAACCACGGTATAAATTTAGCAGATACTACATGGCTAAGTATCCCCTTAACTTAACTATTAGATAGAAAGTGTGGACAGTTTTGATTTGTTAACATATAATATTCTGTCTTATATTTATATATAATTATCCTATTTTGTCAACTAAATTTATGCATTTAGTCATGAAATATTTAAAAGTATATTGATTTATTTATTTTTGTTATATGAAGAACATTATAGGGATGATTGATGGAATATGGACTATGGGTTAGACAATATATTGTATCAATGCAGAGTTTTCTGATACTGAGAACAATGCTTCTAGGCATGTATGTAACAGATTGTCTTTTTCTTAGGAATTAAATACTGCAATAAATGAGAGGACATTTCTCCATCCTAGCATCAAACAGTTTAGGAATAAAGTGTGTGTGTGTGTGTGTGTGTGTGTGTGTGTGTGTGTGTGTGTGTGTGTGCTGGAGGGGGACAAAGCACATGGAACATTATGTAATTAATTTGTGAATATGAGTAAAAGGCAGAGCAGAATTCTTGTACTATTCTTGTAATGTTTTAAAGTTGGAAACTACGCTGGGCAGTGGTGGCTCATGGCTGTAATCCCAACACTCAGGCAGAAGCAGGTGGATCTCTGAGTTTGAGGCCATCCTTGTCTACAGAGCAAGTTCTATGACAGCCAGGGATACACAGAGGAACGTTGTCTTCAAAACAAAACAAAACAAAACAAAACAAAACAAAACAAAACAAAACAAAACAAAATAAAAAGCAGAAAGAAAGTTTGACACTATATCTAAGTAAAAATTTACCCTCAAGTGGTGTGTTGTGAAGTAAACAACTGTTTGGTGTATTACCTAACAAGCAAGTGGAGATCAACTATGGCCTTATAATTTATTATACATGTAATACATATTTATTATTTTTAATTTTCTTAATGCTTTAAAGGCAAGCAGACAGGGCAGTCTATGTGTCTTCCTGGACCATTGGGGGCTTATGAAAGAGTCCCTCTATGAAAGGGCTCTCTCTGTTCAGCCCATAACTATTCTTCTTCCTGCCACACGGTGGTGCTGTTGGAGATGGAACTTAGATTCTGTGTCAGAATGGCCCTGTCCTCTGCAAAGGCTGCCTTGGAGGTGCAAGGTACTGACAGGCAGGCAATGCTGTGCAGGGAGAAGAAGGTTGAAGTCCTTGGAGGGAAATGTGTCAATGCTTAATGTGGTTGGGATAGTTTTAGCCTTGGTGAAGAGGGCTTGGTTAGAAGGAGAGGAACAGATGTCTAAATTGCATATGAAGTAGCAAATGTGGAAAGAACCAGTATTTTATACGTGCAGTGGACGAATGATTTGGCAATAGATGCGTTTTTTCTGTGGATACTGTGAAATGCCATGCTCCTATGACTTGGACCCTCAGCCTCTCTTTTCTCCCCTTGACCCTGAGCTGGCTGCCTATCCTAATCCACTGGAGGATGAGACTCCAACAGCAGAGCTGAACTGTCCACACTGAGGCCAGGAGAGTAACCCTCCCTAGCAGCTTCTCTGATTTAGTCTGTCCATGGTTAAAAGAACAACAACAAAAAGAATCATGAGAGAAAAACATGGTGGTTGTTTAAAACCACTCTTGTAGACTTAATTATGGACACCCACTCCAACAACAACAACAATAACTGTTACTCTCTATTGCCTGTGAATACATACCATTATGGAGTAAAGAGACTGTGACTAGAACTCTGAGAGTATCCCGAATTCCACAGGCAGGTTCTAGGATACTGTAAAAGGATCACAAGAAGATCAGACAGAGGACCAGGACTTGGAGTGAGGATGTCAATGTCAGAAGTCTCAAGAAGCCAGAAGAGGATTTTAGCCCCATATGGCTCACTTTTCACTTCTGATGTACAGAACAGTAAGAGAATAAATTTGTGGTACCTTAAGTCAGTACCTCTGTGGTAACTTGTTAAAATAGTCATGGGAAACATATTTAGCCACAAAGCTGCTAGGGAGCTTATTATGAAGCAGAAGGTAACTGATATGCATGTGCTTTATCTTCTTGTGGAAACTTTAGAAGAAAGGAGGGAAGGGGAGGAAGGAAGGAAGAGAAAGAAAGAGAGAGAAAGACAGAGAGAGAGAGAGAGAGAGAGAGAGAGAGAGAGAGAGAGAGAGAGAGAGAGGAGGGAGTTAATATACTTGGAAAGGAGGAGAGGAACCAAAAATAATACTTTGCCAGATATTTTGATGAAAATGTATAGCATAACCTGCTGTTTTAAATATATATTTGAACAACTATCTTGGATACATTAATTTTCTTATGAGTTGATTAATAAAACTTGTGTACTGTGTGCTGAAAATGAAGACATGAAACATTCTCTGTGCATGCTAGGGTTTGGATGTATGCCCTACTAAGGTCACCCGTGAGCCTGTGGTGCTGCGGGGAGGTTGGTGGGGCCTAGTGGCAGGTGTTAGGCATGGTGTGCCATTGAGGTAGGATGTGGGGACCCTACCTCCCCACTTCTTGACTGCCACAAGGCAAGCAGCGTCACTTCACTGCATGTTTCCCCCACCGTGTTCAGCTGTCCTACCAGCCCAAGGTGACCGCACTGGCTGACTGTGGACTGAAACCTTTGAAAGTGTGAGCCAAACAAACCTTTCTTTCCTTTCAATTATCTCCAGGGTCTTGCCTCAGCAAGAAAGCTGACTAGTATAATGTCCTCAGGGAAACTTCCCACAGTTGTGCCCCCCATCTTTACCCCCATGGTCCCCTCCACACTCCTCCTCCCCATCCTTTAAGGAGCTGCTCTAACAGGTGTGAAGGCAAGGGCTTTCACAAAGATACACCCACCACACTTCCTACCATGCCTTAGCTCTTCACCTCCTGCCTCCCTTCCCATCAGCCCCTCTGCCCCTATAATTGTTGCATTTTTCTTCCTTTTTTTAAAAAAATTTTTTTTGGTTGTTATTGCACAAACATTCCTTTCCCATGTTTCCCAAGCCATGTCTTTTTCTAGGGTGGACCTTCAACTTCCCTTTTTGTTTTTGAGACAGATTCTAACTTTACAGCTCAGGCTGACCTCAAAAACTCACTTTGTAGCCCAGGTTTCCACAAACTTACTGTGATCCCCTACCTTACCTCTAAAGAGCTGAGACAACTGGTGTCCATGGCAGACACCAAACTTTCTGAAGAGGCAATACAAGCTTCCAAATTTGCAGTATTTGGGGGACCTAGATCTAAGGGCCACTATGTCTAGAGAGGGCCCCAGCAGATCCAGGGAATGTGGCACTTTGGCCAGGCTATCTAAACCACAACATTCATGTTTATTATCCCATTCACCACAACAAAGTCTGGTGTTGACATATGGCCACTGGGGGCTTGGGGTGGAGCTTAGTGATGTAGCACTTACCTGGGATGTGGGAAATACTGGGTTCTAGCCTCAATACCACCCACACAAAGCAAAGAACTGCATTTTAATACCTATTCTTAAATAAATAGCTCCATGTCACACCAGAATACCCTGGAAGAATTTTAAGTGAGTCAGAGAAGCCTATATGCAAGTTTCTTCAGTGAACAGGTGCAAGGGTCTCCCTAAATGAGGGGCTTGTGCTGTTTTGGTGATGAAGTTGTCCGGAGCTGGAAGCAGTGGCCCAGGTCACACGTAGAGGGAATGTCTTTGTTACCCAGTGTTGCACACATATTGAAATATGGCCACAGTGAGCTGTGGTGTGTTCAGTTTTCTGGAAACACTGCCGGGCTGTATGTTGGTGACTGGCCCTTGTCTGCAGGCGGCAGTTCAGCTGCCATTGCTTACTTTTTATCAAATGAAACCACCCATCTGAGAAAGCCATGTCTGAGTCCATCAGAGGCAGGGAGTCATTGACAGCAATGTGAAGATCCTGCTGTGAGACCTGCAGGTGGGGGTGTCAGGCCAGTCACTTCATGCTGAGGAACTCCTGGGCTCTCTCAGGACAGCTCGCTGTTTTCCAAGATTGCAACGCTTGGCCAGGTAGAGCTCATCCTTTGACTTTCTTTGACTCTCAGAATGAATTAGCATCTTATTCAGGCACAGTGAATGTGGAGAAGGCCCTGGGGTTTGTCCTTGCTTTACTGTGCTGTCTTGCCCTTGCTTGGAATCATGCTCAGACTTAGAGCCCATGGAGTAGGCCCATGGAACACTCACAGGAATGACCTCTGACGTCTGTATGACCCGAATCACCACCTGTAGTATTGTCTTCTGGAGGCTGACCCTGATGCTGTGCAGAGGAGTCAGGCCAGCTGCCTTGGTCCATACAGAGTGCTGAAACACATGGCAATGAGATTCTACACTTCGTTGCAGAGGAAACAAATCGTATTCAAAGCACAGCAGGCACTAATTCAAAGACAGCTCAGGCTCCATCCTCAAGACCCAATTGCCTCCCAGTGGTCCCATCTCCTAATACAATTTTGAGTGTTTGATACATTCTGTTGTATTCTGATATATTGGCCCAAGTAACAGCTTAAATGAAGACACAGACTGTGTGGCCAACATTGTCACTTGACAAGGTGGTTCTAGGCTGCCATGTACCTGCTAGGCGTTCTTATTATGAGTCACCAAGTACCATGCCAAGTATCTCAGATGGACGTTTTTAATCCTTGTGTATTTGTAAGGTACATGAAATATTCCTATTCCACAGATAACGGAAATAAGCTTTAAAGGGGCAAAGATCTCAGTCTGGAGCGTGGCAGAGGCAGAAAATCAAATGGGCTGACTCTAATTGCCACGATCTTTGCACTGGACCCATGCCACCGACTCACCACCTCTCTCCTGCCTTGCATACTTCACATTGGCCATGGGAAAGGACATCCCGCCAACACAGAAGTCACTCTACTACAATAAAATGTCCACTTAAACATGCACAAGCTGCTCGTCAAGTGTCTCATCCCTTGCCCCTCAAGGCAGGGAAGGGGATGTGGGGCTTTGCAGGGCGAACCTTATAGAGGCTCTGAGTCAAGGATGGTTTTCAGTCATCGAGCTCAGGAGCAGGCCTTGTCTTCCTGGCTCAAGTTGCCACAGCACCACAGTGAATTTGAAGGGCCCTTCTTCAAATCCTTCGTGGATGCCAGATTCCCATGGCGGACCCATAGAGCTTAAGTTTACATCTGTTGGGCCAACTAGGACTTCCTGTTTTTAACTTCTGGGAGGTTTAAAAAGCATAAACAAATGGAGGTTGTTATAAACCAGGAGTAAATATTCCCTTAGAGCATTTTTCACAAATAAGCTTCCTTCAAAATACACACACTTCATAGGAAAGGGGCTCAGGGAAGCACATCCTGGACTATTGCTGAGTGGAAAAATACCTGGCTCTTATTTTCACCTTTCTTTCTCTCTCTTTCTCTTTCTCCCCCTCCCTCCCTGCCTTTCTTCCCCCATGCCTTCCTTGTTTTACTCAGTATTTAATTATATCATGAATTCTGCTTCCAAGGCCAGCTCTCCTAACATGTCCATTGTTGAAAATCTGTCTCTCCATCCTCATTCTCTTGGGAATTTATGTTTACTGTGGGTAAAACTTGCTCTCAGTCCTAGGATCCAGCCTGTTAGAATTGTGGGCAGGGAAGAAGAAAGCAACCTCAGATTTGGAAGCTGAAGAACGGACTGCTGACCCCCTTGGGAAGGGAAGTTTCCGATGGAGGTACTGTCCAGCTCCTGGCTTGTGACACCAGCCCTGGTTTCTTCCCCTCACAGCTGATATCGACAGACAGAGGAGCCCTGACGATGTGAAACTGCCTCAGGCCAGTCCTCGTCCCAAGAAGAAGCTGCTGTGAAGCCACTGAAGCAAAAGGAACAGGAAAGGAATTCGAGGAGAAGTTGGATGGCCAGGCTTGAGGACCTTGCGTATACAGCCATGGTGACCAGGATGTGGCCTTGATCCCAAATGCCAGGTTCACATTCCAGACTCCCAGAGGTAGGACATTGGAATCTAAGGTGGATAACCCATCCCTTGTCCCAGGAAGAGACCTCCCTTCTATCTTACCATCTTTGAACAATAAGTATGTTCAACAAATATTCCTCAGCATACTCTTATTTGTGTATATTGTTTGTTTTGCGTGTATATTTCTAAGGCTTGAACCAACCTCTCTTTCCCCACTCCCTTCACTCTTTAAAGGCATGGGTATCTATTTTGAATAACAGTAGCAAATCTTATGACAGCTGCTTGCTTGCTAGGTATGGAAGCTGGGCCAAGGACTTGCCAGTAGTAGCCCATCCATTTTGTACAGGCCCCCAGAAGGGCTATTCTTGTCTTATCCATGACTGTCACCATTTTAGAACAAGGAAGCTCAAACACATGGATCTAGTTAGGGAGTAAGGCCTGCAGCAATGTGGATTGTCAGCCTGCTTCCTACTTGCTCCACAGAAGGGACTTCAGTCTAAGGTCACACAGTTGGTCACCTTGAGCCCTAGCACACCTCAGCACATAGCCTTAGGCAGAGAGGCTGCTGTCTTTGGGTGAATTGCATTGGGTTTCTGGGCTGCTCTCGGGAGTCCCTGCCCTGTATGGGAGAGGATGGGGTTTGGTGAACTCTGAACTGATTGAAAATAAGACAGCTACGTGCGCTGTCCTAGCAGTCTCACAGGCAGGATGTGTGTCATTCCCATGAAGCCCTATGCTATTACTGGCTGCTGTCTCTTTTGTGGAGTGAGCTTAGGCAAATCGTGAGCAAGGCAGGGTCACCTTCCCTAGGCCCAGGAAGGGTTAGATCCCCAACAAAACTCTGGTCCCACTTTGGGAAAGAAAAGACTAGGAGCATACTGTAGGGTGTCAGAATTTCAGTTTTTCTTTTGTTGAACAGCTGAACTTGCAATTAGAAAAATGACTACGTGACTAAAGAATTGTTTTAGTGGCTGGATAACAGCATACATCTGTACTCTTAGCATCTAGATGCTGAGACAGGAATGTTGTAAGTTCGAGACTAGCCTAAGTTGTGCTAAGACACCCTATCCCAAACAAATAAAAACAAATAAATTGTAGTATCTAAAGTCTTTGACCATGCCACAGATGATTAATTTATCTTGTGAGCAACTATCAGTCCCTTCTTGGTCGCCAGGCAGGAAGGGTATGGAAAGCTATAAACGAGGAATCTTGATCTCTAAGCACTGTGGTGTAGATGGGAGCCCAGAATGTTCACCACATTAATGAGTAGAAAGTGGGTAATGGGGTCACTGAGAGCATGAAAACAGGCATCTCATATGGCTAGACCAGGGCTCACAGGCAAGTAAATTCTATATAGCCTTTCATTTCTGTCACAATGATCCATGCATCCACTTTTCAGTGAGTAGAATGTGACCCTCTCAAAACATCATGCTGTGAATTAAGTTTAAAATGCAAAATTGGTTTTAGACTCATGACATCAAGTTGGTGAGCAAGCCACAGAGGAGTGTTATGAGGTTTATGAATCAGCACTGCAATACTTTAAACAGCATTGATTTTTCTACAGTTTCAAGTTTGATCTACTCAATTTAAAAGGCCCATTGAAAGGCCATATTAGTTTTTCATCTCTGTGGTTACAAATGACCACAAACACAGTGGCTTAACACATTACCTTCTAACTGACCAACAGGCATCATTCAGAAGCCTGGTGCTGGTCGCACTGTGCTAAGTCCAGGTGTTGACAGGGCTGTTCTGCTCTGCAAGTTCTAGAAGTAACTGAGAAAAATGCACCTTTGCCAAGTCTAGGTGCCTCATCTCTTCAAAGCTGGTGGCAGCACCATTGCCCCTGACTCCTCTGTCATCTCAGCCACTGTTAAGGACTTTTGTGATCATGCTGGTCTGATCTAGATCAGAGGGATAATCACCCTAGTGTAACATGGTTACAATTGTTCACTTTGTTAATGGTCATTGTCAATCTCTTTCTCTGCCTAAATTAGAAATTAAACTTCATTGCAGACATGTTTGCATAGGAAAAGACATTGAATCTAGAGTTTGGCACTGTCCCTAGTCTTTGGCATCAACTGAGGGTCTTGGACTATGCCCCCTGTGAATAAGGTAGGACTAGTGTACTACCTTTTGGGGTAGCTTGCTTCATGGGAATCATTGAAATTACTATACTAGTACAGAATATTTTAAGCAGTTAGTACAAAATTGCTCAAGTATTGAGCAAAGAGGAAATGAAAGTCTACTTAGATTTACACATATTTCCACAATGTACAAACAAAATAATAATTTGTAAGTCAAATATAACATTTAGAGGGGAAATTGAGGTGCTAAAATTTTTGCATCTGACAATTACAAAGCCTGTATGGGGCTGAGCTTGATCCTCTGCATATATGTTCTGGTTGCGTAGCTTGCTGTTCTTATGGGATTCCTAACAGTGGGAATGGGGGTGCCTCTGACTCTCTTACCTTCTCTTGGGATCCTTTTCCCTTTATTGGGTGCCTCTTCCAGCTTTGATATGAGGGTTTGTACCTAGTCTTTTTGTAACTTGTTATACCTTGTTCTGTTGAAATTCCTGGGAGGCCTGCTCTTTTCTGGAGGGAAATGGATCTGTGGAAGAAGGGATGTGGAGGAGTGCTTAGAGGAATGCGGGAGGGGAAACTGTGGTTGGGATGTAATGTATAAGAGAAGAATAAATTTTTAAAAATTCCAGAGTGGAAAATTTCCCATTAAATTTTTTTGCATCTTTAATAAATGAGATTAATGTGAAATATAGTTAAGCATCTCTCTCTTTTTTTTTTTCAAGACAGGGTTTCTTTGTGTAGTTTTGGTGACTATCCTGGATCTCACTCTGTAGACCAGGCTGGTCTCGAACTCATAGAGATCCGCCTGGCTCTGCCTCCTAAATGCTGGGATTAAAGGCATGCACCACCACCGCCTGGCTCCTCTTTTTTTTTGCATCTCTTCTCCTTGGACATAGGAGTTCCCACCCCAGAGCCTCTTTCAGGATGCTACTCTATACTCTAGCTGTACTGAGTAGGGCTGCTGGTGGCTCAAGGCCGTCTAGAGAATTACCCTGAGCCCACAGGACCCTTCCACCTGAGGACCCCTTAGAAGTGGGTCAGGCTGCTGTAAAGTCACAATATACAGAACAGGCACCGTGGGGGCTTCCCATCACCATGGAGTCAGAGCAGCTGACTCCAGAGAGTTTATTTGGTGACCTTATCTTCTTCTGCAGTTCCTGTTTCTAAAGCTAGCTCCTCTTTGGTTTGCCCTCCTGGCAGAGAAGCACCATCTCAGCCTTGGGTTGCCTGTAGAGGTCAGAACACAGAAGCTCAGGTGATGAGTTCATTTCCCTAGGTGACCCACTCTTGTTGTCTCAGAATGGAGCCTCCTGGGTGGACATGTCATTTCTTTAATGCATTCCAGTCCCATTTGATACTTGTGATATTTCCACTAATAGTCATAGGGAAGCAACCTTCAATGTTTCCTTTGATTTTTCTCAGGATTAGGTTTCCCATAGAGCTACAGTTGTGGGCATTTTTCTGTTAATGATTTACAGCTTTGTTTGCTTGCTTGCTCGCTTATTTGTTTGTTTGTTTGTTTATTTCGTGATGAAGATTAGCCCAGTGCCTCATGATGTGCTCTACCACAGAACTAGGCCATCAGCCATATTGATTTAGATACATAAGATGCCGCTTTAATTATCTGTTTCTTGACTTTCAAAGTCTTAGCAGATTCTATAAAATGATCTTGGACTTACGGCAGTATGTTAGAGTCTTTAGTAATCTCTCTCTCTCTCAGTTGTATGTATGTATGTATATATGTATGTATGTATATGGCCATTTTGATTGCATGTGTGTCTGTGGAACATGCATGAGCAGTGCTCTGAGAGGCCAGAAGAGGGCGTCAGATCCTTTAGAACAGTGGTTCTCAACCTTCCTAATGCCAAGAGCCTTTAATACCGTTCCTCATGTTATGGTGACCTCAACCACAAAATTATTTCGTTGCTACTTCATAACTGTAATTTTGCTTCTGTTATGAATCATAATGTAAATATCTGATATGTGACCCTTGTGAAAGAGTCGTTTGACCCACAACTTGAGAAATACTGATCTAGATTTACAGATGGTTGTGAGCTGACATGTGGGTGCTGGGAATTAAACTTGGGTCCTCTGGAACAGCAACCAGTGCTCTTCACCACTGAGCCATCTCTCCAGTCTAATTTTTTCATGTTCTTATATGCAGAGGGACTTCAGTTGGCCAGTATTTTTGCTTAGGCTGTTTGCGTCTATGTTCATGAGCAGTAGTCTGTGATTGTTTCTTCTCTCATTATCCATGCACAGTTTTTATTTAAAAACTTTTTGGGGTTTTCCTGTTATCTGAAGTATGGTGGCCAATCTAGTGGTCAACAGCCATGTTTGGGTGGCTATTAAACCTGCCAGGTGCCATTAGCAAGTATTAAAGCATTGAAACATACTAGATTTTGCAAACAGCACAAAACACATTCTATGAAATATTTCAGCAATTTACATCTGTGAGTGATGATATTTGGGGTATACTGAGCAAGACAAAATCTATTATAATTTTACAATTTAAAATACATGTGTTGTCAACAGGAAACAGCTTTTTTCTTGATAGTGTGCATTAATATAACATCCCTGAAAAAAAAAAGAAAGAAAAGGAATGGAGAGGGAGAGGAGTAAAGGGATGATGTAGGCAGGGCCTCAGCTCCTCTGTCTGTGGGAGCCTTGTGGTCCTTCTGTTTCTTCTGGGAACTGGCCTAGGTCAGCACGTATGTTTGTATTTCAGGTCTTTGGGTTTTGAGGAAGATGAAGGTGTGAGAGCTGTCTCCATACCAGTGGAAAGCTCCTCCAGAGCCTTGTCCTCAGGCCTCCAGCTAGTATTTGGAGGCGCCCCAGGCCAACACCTCTAAGAAAACAGGAGGAGTCAGTACGGTACCCAGCACACAGCAGCTCACTCTCCAGGACAGGCTCAACGTGGCATGCACACCACCTGGGTGTGGAGGGCTC